AGCCGCAGCTCAACTCGTGGATAGACATGGGGACTTCGGTCATCAGGCGGATACTGTATTCGAAAAAAATGAGCTTGAGGATCCTTGACAGCTTCTGGTCCAATTCCGAACACATCACGACGGCTTCCCGACATCTTGAATTCGTATCCCCCGGGTCGAGTGTTGCTGCCATGCGATCCACCGTCCGAGCACAGGATGACAGTTTAAGAGCGATTCCGAGATATATTATGAAAGTTTCCAAGTGACTCACATAGATACTGAAGAACTCGCCGTAGTATGAAACGATCTTGCGGACCAGCGAGTAGTCTGCCTTTCCGTATCCGTATCCGTATTGCATGTAAAAGATCCCAGTTGCCAACGCGATTCCGAGACACGACACGGCTTCAACCACACAGCAAAGATTCGACCAGGGAATCAATTCAGGAGGAACCTCGATTCGGAGAACCGAAAGATTTCTCAAGCACCAGATGTAAATCATATTGAGGTGGAGATTATCGTACACGTAGTAGGACATCCTGAAGGATTGCGATAGACAAAAAGAGCTCGTCACGAGGTAGGAGGATGCATAGTAGAAATTGAGGGAATTCAGCAGGAGAATGAAAGCCCGGATCGACGTCGTGAAGCGACCCGAAATCCCCAGGGTCTGCAGACCAATGTTGAAAAAGCTCCTCGGAGGCATGTCTCTTCTGATCGTTGGAATCTGACGTTGTGCGGCTTGGGGTATTATTTTCCAATGCTCTCCGCGCTCGAAAAGCGGCGTCGCGTGAAGCTCCTTTTAGCGCGGCACATTCATGAACTTATCGATCAGTATTGGAGTGATTCAAACTTACCTCTGCTCCATCAATAGATACTTATAGGTGATGTACTCTCTTTGACGGCACATAGTAATCGGTACAGAGAGTACGTTCCGAAGACTCGTGGGAATGTCTAAATTTGTTCAGGCCAGCTGCTTCCAGCACTCCTGCTGACTCCCAGCTTCGTCAAACTGGAGAGCTGAATCAAAGTCATGCGTGTGCTACAATTCTGAATGACGTCAAGATGTTGAAGAATCAAGAATCATGAGTCATGAGTCATGACATCTGGAAGAGCCGAGTCTCAGATTTCTGACTCTCGGATCCGCAGTCTTTCAAGATCTCTTCTCAATCGGAGGCGAGCTGAAAACAATCGGCACGCTCCTCGCAGGCTTCATCGGTGGCCACCACCCTGCAGCGAAGCGTACAAGGTGCGCGAGTAAAGATGAACGGTTGCTCCTGATAGTGAGCAACTCCCATGCGTGGAATTTCGGAGGGATCCTTTAGTCGATGCGGACCGATTTTCAAGCGGAGCGCCCCATTTGGTACTCACTCGGAAAATCATGTCTCATAAAAAATCAATTGAAGATCAATTTCACACACAGTGTGTGAACACCGAAGTGTGCCAGAATGATACTTATGATGAAACACCATGTATCCCTGAGGATGAAGCCTTACCGGGAGGAAGAGAGCTATAGATCTGGTACAGACAGAGACCAATCCCTCCCAAACCAATCCTTAAAGAAAAGTGCGTGATTTGGGAAGTCGTTGCCACTGTCGACACTTTGTTTTCAACAATCATAACAATCGAGCACTCAATAAGGAAGATAACTAGGCGGTTGCGAAACAGGTACGACAGAGTGCCTGAACCCTCTGAGGACAATCCCTATCATACAACGACAGAGGATATTGACTCCCCGGTGGAATCGCAGCCTAGCTTTGATCACGCGTCACAAGCTACTAATTAAGCGAGGTGTCTTCTTGGAGGTATGAGCTCCTTCTCCACGGTCCTCACGCGTTCCCGTGAAACACGCAGCAGGCATTTTAGGGCTGCCACTTCGGCCCTGTGCTTCCGGTTAGCGTGCAGATGTGCTAACAAGAAGAGCTAGGCTTAGCTCCGTTCAGCTCCCTGAGACTCATCCCCCATGGGGAGATCATTACAGTGATGATAGTCCTGTTCACGATAGATGCCCCTATCTTGTTCGTTGAGTTCTCCCCATCTTCTATTGCCTTCCCCAGTTGCCTTTTCCTAGCTTAGACCGTGAACGTATTGTAATTCGTCGATCAAACCCTAAATAGGCATCAGCCGCTTCTTCTGCTCAGTTCGTTCGCGTTGAAGGAAGGCCTCGAGGAGAGCTCTCTGAATAGCGAATTGCTTCAAGGTTTGGTACATTTTCGAGGTGTAGGATGACTTGCTGGAGCTATCGCACGGGAGAGGAGGCTCTCGATCTCTTTGGTGAACGGAGAGCTTAGATTTCGAGGGCACAGTGACTTAGATCAGAAAAGCATGCATTCTATACTAACAACGACAATGGAGAGAGTCTCTTCTGAGAGCAGTCTAGAAGATTCACGATTCTGTGACATAATGTTCTTGAAACGTTTCTCGGAGCGCCCCATTTTGCCGCGGGAGGAAAAAAGGTAGTTCGCTGTCTGTATTTTTCAACTGACGCCTCCTGAGGACAACTCGTGCTGCAGATGGAGGAGGGACCTACGCGATGGACTTCCACCAGGAAACTAGTGCGATACTTCGCGCCGCGTGCTATCGGCTCGTACACTCAGCCATTAGAATCCGTTCACGTCCGCAAGGTGAGCAGGGAAGGGACCGTCTTCCCAGGCGAAAAAGATTATCGATGTTTCGGAGAAAGTTCATCAAAACTCTTACCCGGAACTTGAGCGTGAATGTTCAATCGAATGTATTATGCTTCTAGCGTAAAGATGCATAGTTGTCCCCCTCGAACGATTACGTCTGTTGCTTCCTCCGTATTCGTACGGGGGCTCTCTCATCGAGGCGGGCGGGTGACATCAACGCAGTAGGTTCCTGGAAAAGCTGCAGGGTCGGTACTCCGAGGGAGCCCTCCGAACGTCGGGAGATGGAGGGGGTCGGAGCAGCCCGGCCTCTGCATATATGTCGTCACACGTGCTTTGCGGGTATCTCCTCCAGGCAAAGTAGGTGCAGGCCTCCTACATTTTCCCCGGAAGCGAAGAGACTGGCAGGAAACGTTCCCGAGGCGACTCTCTGCCGTATAGTCGCCATCGGATTAACCTTTTCGCTGTGAACAACGGCACAACCGCGCGCGGATTCGCTTATCGTTGAGAGGCTGCCCGTGTCGTAAGGCCCTCAGACCTTCCTGGTACTCGTTCCGCCTGAGATGGACGTCGGTTTTCTCAAGCTCGTAGGACTCAAACCTTCGGCACCTTCCTCGGGATCGGAAGGCTTGTGACGCAGCTCTGTGTGAACAGCCAGTTTCTCAACTTTCTCACGGTCCCCCCTTCAAGAGCAGGTCGAGCGACAAGCTCCTATTGCGTTTCCCAAATCCTCGGGATGTCTTGTCACTTCTCCGACGCGCTACCAGTGAAAATGCCTTTATCATCCTTCGATGCTAAGCTCAGAGAGTAGCGTATTTCGTTCGCACATCGGATCTCCCCAGCCTGTTCAAGGCCGACTCCGTACTTCGGAGCATTCCGTGTGTAATGGCGGGTTGTGGAGAACAAATCGCGTCTCGATGAAGCCTCGAGAGGCAACCGGGTCGGACCACACTCGCTTCGCGCAGGGTCGAAATCATTCCATTCTTACGCGGTAGCTATTGATCCATTAATCTTGAGGGAACTGAATTTTTTCGCAGACGAGTCCGCCGATGCACGATTTCTCCACCGACGATTCAGAGCAAAAAGAAGTGATACAGTTTATGGAATGCCTTTCCTCGCGCGGACAATGTGGCGAGGGGACTCGCTGGGGGTCAACTTCACGGGAACCTTCGCCTGGCAGGTCTTCTCTATCGGCGAGCATGTTTGCTAGGCCTTCCCCCGAACACGGGTGAGCTGTCAGCCAGTGCTACATAGTCATAAGTCTATCTCCAGACGCGTTGTCGGCTGTCGGACGCGAGCCGGGCACCGTTCCTGAAGTCCCTTGTTGCTCCAGTGGATATTCTTGACGGGTCGGGGAAACAGGCTGAACGACTGTCCCAAATTCAACATGGAATGAGGGATGATCCGCGAATCAGAACCCCCACAACAAGGGGCCCGGACGATTGGTCACTCCTCCTCGGCTTTGAATTCATCCAGTCCGTGTTAGCTCGGAGTCCACATGAATATCTGTGATCGGCGCGGGGGAATCGCTAACCCGCTGAGAGTCCGAGAAGCCGAACTAGCGCTCCTATCTGCAACGAAACAAAAGCTGCGCACCATCTCTGCGTGCATTGTCCACCCGGCTCCTCCCGGACATTGCCTTGAATGTTTAGAATGTATTCTGAGGAAACCTGTCTGAATGCTCAGGAAGATAGCTGGGGAGGAGGATGGAAGAACTGACTGAATGTAGGAAAAACGACGGCCTCTAGGCTCTTCTCGACAGATGCATGGTCGTTCTCGAAACAGACCCCTCGACGAAGCACATGTATAAAAGAACGCCGACAGGATATAATGAATATTAATTTGGGGCAAATCGGGAAGGAAGGTCCGATCAAGAAGACTAAGCTCGAAAACCCATCATCCCGTATTATTTATTTATTCTGAAGACGAGAGGGTCGTTTGTGAAGAAATTTCTATTTGGCGATCAGCAAACAGCCCTCTATATCACTCGATAGGTTTCTTAGCACCATCCATATCGCAGTACATGAGATACCTAGGATGAGCCCGAAATTATATCTCATCTAGCTATAGGAAGCCTAGAAAGTAGGTTCTCAGAGATGATGCAAGTTTCGACCACCGATCCAAGTCCCTTGCCTCGAAGACCGTTTGGTACACAGACGCTCCGCTCAGGATCAAAATCCGAAAAAGCGAGCCATCGAGGAAGGTTCCTTGTGCAGAGATTGGAATTGAGTAATCTATGAGAGAGATGTCTCATGGCTGAGTTCTCCCGATTGAAAAAAACGATTCCCTGGACGTTGCTGACACCGTCAGTCGGGTCTTCGACATGGAACAAAATATATTGGGGATATCCGACAGAAGTCGACAGTACAGACTTCCACTTGAAGTCACTCGGCCGGGGAGCAATTAGAGGAACCATCCCATGGTCTTCTTAACGCCATGATCGTCGGGTAGACTCAAAGCCCATTTTCGGAAGCCAGTAAAAATCACGCATGACATCACGATGATGACTCCGCCGATGGTGTACTGGTCTGGAATCTCATTGAAAAAGATCACTTGCCACATGAAGACCGCCACGATGTCGACCGTGGCTCGCATCACCGAGACGGGTCCAGCTTGCTCGCATCGCAGCGATAGCGTCAGCATGAGCTGACCCGAAAAACTCAATAAAGCCAAGGCCAGCAGGAGTACCGCGTCCAAATCGTTCCTAGGCATGATGATAGTCCCTTGGAATAAGAACAGCCCGCAGACTGACAAGACCAGAGCTATCCAGCCGAAATTGAACATGATCACGTAAGGATCCAATTCTTTTAGTTTCCGAAGAAGCACGATGACTGTAGCAGCGAAAACGCACGACGAAAGCGCTGAGAGCAGGCCGTACAGTCGTTCCTTGTTTTCTCCGAATACTATAGCAGCGTAGTCTTCTCCGCCGAACAGCATGGGCAGCTTGCTGATGAGAGCAATTCCAATCACGGTGAGAAAACACATCAATATCTGGGAGACAGAGCAGGCCTCGCGGAGGAAGAGTCTCGCCAGAAGGGCAACGAAGAGCGGCGACGAGAATATTATTGTCGATGCATCCCCTAGAGGAATTTTCTGGAACGCATAGAATCGCAACATGAGGCTCACAGCCCCCGAAACCGCGCGCAAGCAGAGCATCCCTCGAAATCCGGGACGTCCAAAGAGTTTTTCACCCCTACATGAAGCTATCGGTAGCGAAAGCAGAAGGATACCCGAGAAACGAACAGCTGCCAGCTGCGATACATGCATGTAATGCAATCGTTTGACGAAAACCGAGCATATCGAAAATATCAGCGCTGACAGCGAAGCGTAGAACAAGCCTCTCCACAGAGCGCGAAGAGAGTTATCCTTCGGAGATCGGTTCCCTTCCACGTTCTTCGGGTCGTTTTGCATGATTTCGTCCTCGCGGTGGCTCGCGGTCGTTCGCGAGAATCCTTTCGGTATGACGAACATCTCAGTCGAGATGACCTTGCACGTGACTTCATTCGGGAGCATTCGAGCAGCTGGGATGAAAATATCTTCCCTCGTCCGGAGCTATTCCCTGGAATCGTGAATCGATCATGAGTTCGATGTCACGGACATCGTGGCACCACACGGACACCTATCGCGCCTTGGACTTCCTCCAAACTCAGGCCTGGATATCTGTTGATGCCTGGGCTGAAAGCAATGCTCTATCCCGATCGAGAGAGGATGGAATGCTCTTTCTCCACAAATGATCGGTCCCTTCCCCGTGAGCGTTATGGGTCATATATACTCTTCGAGCTGTTGCGATCGATACGACTTTACAGAGGATGCATATGACGTATGCAAGCAGTATTGTTCGGATGGTGATGTGTCGAGCGAGCCCCGTCCGAGAGAGGCGCAACTGATGATCTAAGACTCAATCATCGAACGGGAAGAGCATCATCGAATGCGCAAGCTCTCTGAGTGAATCTATGGGGCGATGATTGATGATGACGAATTCCGCTGCATCCATTCTGATCCCGGATGACCGGAATACTTATCCGGAGAGGCTACAAGCATATTTCTCTTTCCTAGTCCGGTTCACTTCAGGAGCTTATCGTGGAAGGTGCCCGATTTGGACGATATTCTCCCTCAGCGACAGGATTTTCCATCGCGACAGGAGAAGTATGGATTGTGATCTCACTCAATCGTCGAGAGGAGAAAGAAACAAAAATTCACCAAACAACCGAAACATTGTAATCCCGATCGGTGAAGTCGATGGCAGCGACGGCATGAAGCTGATATAGCTCCGGATGATCAAATTGTTCATTGGGGTTCATCGTGAATAAGACGGATCTCCTGCAGGGAGGGGCGAAAAGATGACCGAGATGGGGCATTGAGATCGTTCTTCGAGAAAGGTATCGCGTCGCCACTCTGTCAACGCTCGAGGTATGGCAAAAAATTCTCAGCGAAATTCTTCCCCCAACGAGCATTGGAATCACCGGCCCTTCTCTTGGCAATGGCTCCGTCAGGATAGCTGTTAGATTCATGAACGTCGGAAAAGGTCCTCATCTAGGCGATTCGGTCCATCGACCCGATGCCCGGAATCGCGCTTCCCCTCGTGCTCGAACAACGCTCGGATCACCGCGAAAATTATTTCCTGATCCATGGTACCAAGTCCCAGGAGCCCGACAGGTAGCTATATCACAATGCGGCAAATCAGAGCGCCGATTTCGTCTCCGCTCCCTGGTGAGACTCGGAATTCCTCAGGCATGGCTCTAGATCCTCGCAGCTTGAATGACTTCTCCACTACGCTCCCGATGAATGATTGTATGAAAAGGCGTCCAATGGAAAGAAGCGACTTACGTCAGACAGATGAGATGTTCGAGCGAAGAAAATCTCACACCGAGAACTATATAGCAGTGATCCTTCACCATCGATGACCCGTTTACAACGTAGCTCCTCCCTGCGTCAGACAGACCAAGCTGACGTCGTTTCACAGATTTTCGGAAGTCTGACGCGAGTACTCTCAGGAAAATAACTCTCGTCCCGCTGCTGACAGGTCTACAGACACGGTTTGCTCCGAGTCTCCAAGTAAACGGATGTCTCCTCGAGATGTTCGTCCGTACGTCTTACGCAGAGTGTCAGACGTTGTGTTTGACGTTTTGCGGAGCATTGTTCTCGGACTCCTACTCGAATCGATAAACTTAATGCATCTGACCGCTTGACTCCGATGGTCGAAAGCGAAGTTATTTCATGCCACTTCTGGGTCGTACCCAACGCGGGGCAGCGAGGTCTCTTGATTATTGGATCATCCGAGTCAACTCGAACTCTCCTCGGCGACAGAGGCTCGGGAACCACGAGGGGTCCGCGGAGTTCACTGTTCCGCCAGTCTGAAATCCTCGAAAATGGGGTCTATTATGATCTGTGGAAATTCCCGATCCGGTGCACCAACCCGAAGTCTCACGATTTTCTTCGGATCTTGTTGTCGGCCCTCCCATAAGTTTCCGAATCTCCCGAAGTTCCTATGAATGAGCAGTGCGCGGAGTCCCTCCAGAATGCATTGAGTGCCCCCCTTCCCTCCCCAAAAATCTGGATCCGCTACTGGAATCCAACTTCGTCTCCCTCAGGAGCTCTCTTTGCCTAGCTCTCATCGCATCAGATCCGTTCCTGGGCCCCCACCGCCCGATTCGTTCGGGCTTGTTGGGGTGAGACACTGAAATAGGCCACGGGAACACGCATTTCTTTCTAACATCTCCGTCGCGTGCCTGATCGCTGCTCTCAGCTCCGGGAGACAGTCCTCCTCGAGTTGGCGATCTGCAAGGTCAGAGAATAACGCATGTTAATCTGAACCGGGACACTGAAACCACGTGCAATCAGAACGAGAGAGTGTCAGCACGCGATTGAATAGCTCAAGGTGCTTCGCCTTGAGCCGCAACGCATTTCGAAGCCGACAAAAGCGTTCCTAGGACTTCTTGCGTGTTGAGGAACCGTGATTCGCTTATTCATAGGGGACAATGTATGGACGGTGTGAACAAGGTAGCTGACGGTGCGCTCAATGATGGAAACTTCGGTCAGATTACACCGAGCACGAACATTGTCAATGGATTTCAGCGCAGGGCGGTTTGGATCACCTTCGGAGTGCTCGGTATGCCCCGAAGACAATCGCAAGTTTAGATGTTGAGGTGTTAAGGTCGGCCCTCCCAAGTGTTTTCGAATCTCCCGTAGTTCCTATGCATGAACAGCGCGCGGAGTCCCTCTAAAATGCATTGAGTGCCATGAACAGTGAATATATCACTGTTCCAGCATACAGATGCTCTCCTAACTTGAATGATAAAAAAAAATAAAACAATTTGTTCTAAACAGGAAAAACATCAGAATGATCGGGCTTCTGGCGCGATTCTTCGCTTCCGCCACGCAGCCTCGGATGGAGTCGGTACTCAATCGATTTTCTGTGAGGAGCGACAGAGCTTTAGTGTGTGATTGCGTCAGACTTGTTGCTCGTTCACTGCCTCATCCGAAGCGCCAAGTCATTGCGTCGATTGCTGCGCCCAATGTCATTATCTCAAGATCGGCCCGGTCGTTCGGGCGATAAGTCAAAAGAGCGCAAGCTCCAATTGGGCGCAATGCTATTTGGGCGCGGTGCCATCTGGGCGCAAAGCCGTTTGGGCGCAATGCCATTTGGGCGAATCCCGTTTGGACGCAACCGCTAATCTCGAGACCTCTATTGCCTTCGAGAGAGGCATCGAGGATGTGCGCAGTGACGAGTGGACGTTCCCGTGAGTTAGAGTCGGAGTGTTTCAAACGATTGAAAGTGCCGTGTGATGTGTGATCAAAATTCGAACGATTCTGAGACGCCGCTACCTTCGTCCCTAGACGCTCGAATTTGTTTTGTGATCCGTCGTGGAATATCATCGAATAAATATGGCTAAGACTCAGAAAGGTCGCGAGAAACTTGTCTACGAAGGCTGGATGTAAGAGAGACCGTGTGATAAGTATCCAGAGTTGGCGACGTATGCATGAGAACGCTTCCCGTCCGTGCCGCGCTAGAGCGTACACCTCGATTGAGTCGGGCGAGGTCGAGGGTACGAAAGGCTCACACACGGATCCGGTCGACCCTTCGGGAGTCGAGACCACGAAAGTCCGTGGAGCTGTGAGCGACGCTGTGAAGAAACAAATGGACCACCATCGTCGGTGATGTCCTCGGTTTTCTCACGGCTTCGAAAGCAACCTTCGGACGACTCCCGGTGAGCTCGGTCATGGCGAGAATGATGAACCGCCACAGGAACGCCGTTTCGAACGCTCCGGCGAATTTCGAAATCAGGAGCTCCATAGTGATTCGAGAACACTACCGCGAACATGAATTCGAGCCCGGACGATTCGAGAATTCCGTCGTAGCTGACAGCGGCGAAGGAGATGTCGACCGCATAATCATCCACGAGAGAGTGGATAGGCTTAGTCTTATAGCTATACGTCGATGGGACCTTCAGTCTTTCCCCACCGACTTATTCATAGGTACTCTTAGCTCGCAAGTGTCGACTCAGGGAAGGGGGTTCCGCTCTGGAAGATCTCATTGGATCGCCTCATTCTGGCCAATCCATTCAGCTTTCATTGACCGCCCCCCAGATTGTCAAGGTGCTAGCCGAACGATCACAGTGTGTCCCCCCGGTCGCGTATGCGCTGCTTCCGAACAGGACCGCTGAAACCTACACGAGGGCGCTGAGTCTCCTGAAGAACGCGTGGCCGGCTCTGAGTCCTCTGTCCGTGGTGATGGACTTCGGGAGGCTGTCATGAACGCCGTGCGCAGCGTTTCCTCATCCGATACGAGAATGGATGTAGATATGTTTCTTGTAGAGTGGATGTGGATATGTTTCTTGTTCAATGGATATGTTTCTTCCAGCTCGTGAAGAACATCAAGCTGGCGGAAGAAGGGCTTATGAGTGGGTAAGACCCGTTCACTGAGGTGATCGATGGATGGATGGATCGACTGGATATGCTGAACGATTTCATATGCTCATTTTGATTTCCATTCGGATCTTGGAGAGAGAACTCCTCTGATCCGGCTCGCCATTTCCGACCCTCATCCCTTAATAGCTCCATCTCAATCTTCTTCCCTGATAATTCTTTCAACAGGTATAGTAATGACGACGAATTCGCGCTCAACGCGAGCATAATCGCTGCCTCGGCCTCCGTTACACCGGCCGAGATGAATAACGCGATCTCCGAGCTCGCAGCACTTCTGCCGCCGGAGCTCGTCGCCGTTCTCAATTACTTCGAGGACTTATACCTCGGAAGATTGAACGGAATCCCCCCGAAGGAGCGACAGAGAGACGGGAGTCACTGTTCCCGCTAGACATGTGGTCAGTCTTCCAACGAATGGTCGACGGCAAAGCGCGTACAAACAACTACGCGGAAGGCGCTCATCGACGCATGCAGCTCGAGTTCGGAGTCAGTCACCCGACGCGATGGAAGTTCATCGACGGCTCGAGAAGGATACAGAGAAATCGAGACTTCCTGTTGGAACAATTCCTCGGAGGTGTTCCAAGTGCTGAAAAACGCAGTAAGTATGTGGAGGCCGACCGGAGGATTTTAGACACTGTGCGGGACTTTTCGAACAGTACTCACGTGGAGGATCTGCGGGGTATTGCGCACAACTTCTCCATGGAGTCGTAAGTTGTGGTTCATCAAGTTCTGCTCGTCTTCGTAAAAATATGTGTAAATTAAAGTTTACGATAATAAATATAAGTCCGCCGTGCGCCAACAATGTGGTGGGTATGTGTCGCCTATGGCAAAGAAAGCGAGAAAACGATAACTCAAGACTGAACCCTCGAAAGCTGCGCCAAGGAGCGCATTCATAAGGTGTTTTCATTCTCACGATCACCAGGTCCTGTTTCCCGTCGTGATCAGCCCCCTCAGATTAGAGGTCTTACCCATTCGGCGCCAAATTTCATTTCGCCCAAATGGCACCGCGCCCAAATAGCATTTCGCCCAATCGGAGCTCGCGCCCTTTTGACTTTTCGCCCGAATGACCTGTACCGTCCCAGGATAGACATGGCAGCAGAGACAGTGGGTCTCGGTTGGTGCAGCAGCAGGAGAGATATGATCGCGTCTTCGACGCTCCGTCGCCAGCAATCAGGAACGCTCAGAATTGGGAGCCAGCCCGCTCCTTCAAGCAGTTCTGTTCGCAGATGCAAAAATAATGCTTAATCTCGAAGAAAATCCGTCTGAAAATCGCAATGGTATTCAGTGGTCGGAACAGAAATGAGTTGCTATGAATTTGATTATTGTGAAGAACGTACCGCGTACCGGCATGAACGAATCTTGGCATCAATTCCTCTGACTGACTGAACGCTGAGAGCTCGAGAAGGTGATCATTATGGGAAAGCAACGAAGTTCCTTAAGCCCGGGGGGTTCCCATATTCCTTCGGTGTGCTGTGGTTGTTGATGTTGTGATGCGGGGCTCGAGTAGGGGTCGAGGCCCCGTCTGTTCGGATGTCGCTTCAGCACACCGCAAGTCATTCAATATCACGAAAATCCTTCTGGGAGAGCTCCTGAAATCCCACAGTCAGATAAGCCTTGATTACGTCCCGTTGGAGACGTTTGCCAAACAGCAATCAGTCCGTTTGATAAGCGATATTCTGGAAAAACTGAACCATCTCACTCTGGCCGTCGAGGATGTGAAGATTCACATCTTGAACATCGCGGCTTCTTCCAACTTGTATCGTAAGCAGCAATCGGTAGCCGGTGCCGCCATGGCAATGAAATGTCTACGCGCATTCATTCTCGCCGTTGCCGAACTCTGCAATTTATTTGAGCTCAAGAGTAACCATGAATTGACAAATTGGTTTCTGAGCGCGTCGCTTTGCGAGCAGACCCTCCGTGCATTGAACATCAGAGTGGCGTATCCCGCTGTAGACTTCATCCCGCGTATGGAAGATTTCGTAGCGACCCGTACGTTGGGGAAAGGCGGTTTCGGTGCCGTTTTCGAAGCACGCTTCGTCCCGAAGAACATCGTGGTGTGCATCAAGCTCATACCATTGAGTAGATTAAAGAAAGTTTCCTTCGCTTCGCTCGATAAGATTTTAGCATCCGTGACAGGTAAAACTGTAATGGCATAAAACAGAAATACTCTGGCAGAAGGAGCCACAGATGAGAGCATGCTATCCAACTCGGACATCTGCTGTTGCAGAACATGCGAAACTGGTTCAGTATTATTCCAGTTTCTTGACAACTGAGGCGTACGTCACCGTGATGGAATGCGTTCAAGGAATCGATCTCATAAGATTCATCGAGGCTAGGGGCGAGCTTTCAGCCGACAAGAGCGTCGTGGTCCTCCTGCAGATGGTGAAAGCCATTGCTCATCTGCACGCCCACGGTTTCATACACCGGGACGTAAAGCTCTTGAACACGCTCATTCTCCCTGGGGGTCATATTAAAATCATCGATTTCGACACCTGTAAGATCTGTATGGCTCACTTCGTGGAAACGAAACCTTTGCATACGTACTTCGAGAAAACGGCGAACGAGTTTTCGGATCAAGACTACGCTGGAACGATCACGTTCCTTCCGCCGGAGATAATTCTACGAGAGTCTTACGGGAGATCGATTGATTGGTGGGCGATCGGAGTGACGAGTTTCCGACTGCTAGCGGGGAGATTGCCATTCAGATCGAAACACCGGCAAAAGTTGAAAGAGATGATTGTCAGAGAGGAGCCTGAATTCCCGAAAGAAACCGAAGAATCCGCGAAAGATTTCACGCTTCGGCTGCTGCACAAAAACAAGTCGAAGCGCCTGGGCTCTAGAAGCTACACCGAGCTCACGGGTCACAATGTCTTCAAGAATGTCCGGGGCGATCTACCCTCGGACGGTGTTTATTTCGAGACGAATGTCGGTAAATCCACGACCTTGAGAAAAGAGAGATCGAAGTACGGCCACTGTCTGCGGGTCCATGTTTAATAATTTTGTCCGTATGCTCTTCTTCGAGGCTCCATAGGGCAAGACCAAGTCTAAAAAGAGTGGGTATTTCCAGGAGGGCGGATGGACGAGTGGAAGAGAACTGCGAGTACGTGACTCTGTCCAAATGTGCGAATGTGAGGAAAACTGAACAAAGGAACTTGCTCACTTATGCGTCCCAGATTTGGAGAAGGATAATACGCCCAGAGCTTCCCGGTGAGTGGACCACGTAAGTGCGGTCGATTTCGGTCGGTCTATTGCCCTCATATCTGAAAAAGATGCTCAAACTCGCTCGAGATTTCTTGCAATTATTTTTCCCCCGGAGCCGAGCTCGCGACGAGCGATGTACGCAGTAGCCAAGACCTATCGTTCCTACTATCACATCAGACAAGTGAAGCCGAAGAATTCATACCTGATTATGGTGTGTTTACTCTCCGGGCCCAGATGGTTTATTTATGCCACCCGCAGCTGCTCTGAGAATTGAAAATATTTCTAACCGTCGCCCTGCCGAATTTGCCCTCCCCTTTTGAAGGTCCTCCCCGACAGTCGATTGTATCGGATTGTACAGCTCACTCCACGATTCGCATAGAGACCACGAATGATCTCTCCGAAATCAGAAGTCCGGCGGGATGTCGAAAAAGGGGAGCGAAGTGTCGCTTGAATTGAGCCAATCGGAGCTTACCCATGATTAAAAATATCATGAATCGCCCGGATCGTGAGGTTCCCGATGGATTTGGAGGATGGTCTGCTCGGAGATCCCTCGCCTTTGTTTCGGATAGATCGTTCCGTATTTTCTAACGTATAGGACGCCCCGGTGTATGAGATGAACCCCGAAATTCTTTCGTGAACTCCTATATTATTCACACAAATTAGAAAAGACGCAATCCCGATTTCTTTGGGAGTGTGCCCTGTATGTGCGACGGGAAATACACTTCCTACCTTTGATTCCGACTCTCTTCTCGAGTTGCGTTCGCGCACAATGCTTCGACTCGACCTGCATCGGAGTCCCGTATACATCGAGGTTTACGATTGTCCTCGGGGAAAATATCACCGCCTTGATTATTCGACAGCTGTGACAGGAAGCGAGCGAGTCTTTTGAGGATCCCTCTTTTCAATGCAATGTGCTCCCCAGGCTATGAACCCCACAAAGGTTTCATGAGGCGGAGACAGACCTGAATCTCTGATGAAATTTCGTGCGCCCGCACTTTCCAAGAAAGTCTATCGGCTCCGGTCGTTGCACCCATCGATAGGTCTGAATTTTAGATAGGAATCCGGCCGAACTGAGGGGAACGACGGCCCACAGATTCCCCGAATCGGTTTCATTATGAATGGAACTCCGGTGGTACACAGAAGACCAGCTCGAGCGGGAGAATCCAGTGCAGAAATACCTTTCGAGTCCTCGCGGAAGCTGGGAAAGTTTCCCGGGGAATCTTGGATGGGCAACCGTTCTTCGATGATCCGGATGAATTCGCGTGCTCATTTATCGTCGTGGCCCGAACATCCAGGTGCTGCGGAGAAGTATGTCCGCCGGTGGCGTGGGGACTCCATTTTTCATTAATGGACATGTCTGTTTTACCGTCGCGTTTCCGCTGCCGGAACCGGTTGTAAGGACACAAAGAAACGTGATGCAAGCTCTCGACATTCAGGGCTCTCGTTTTCCCTAGCCGGAACCCCGTTCGAGGCCTGTGTTTAACTTTCTCATTGACCCGAATTGCAAGCTGTAAGCAAGTGCTCTAGCGGGGCTCTGTCCACGAAACAAGATACTGCAAATATATATTTATAGATATATGCCCTGGGCACCGCTTGTTCCATGGGATTACCGGTAGCACAGTCTTGCTCCTAGTGGTCTCGTTTTCTCCGTGGGTCAGATAGAGTGACCCGATGCCCGAATGAACAGGCAGACTCGTAAATTGTTGACTACGTCACGGGACATTGCGGTAGCCCCCGAAGAAGGAATATACGGGTAACACATATTTCCCGGCCGCGTATCTGAAGGTCTCGCCTTCCCGCGGGGACCCATTCGTCTGACCGAGTGGCCCACGTGTTGAGATTGTTTTTACCTACACGCGAATCGGATCACTCGGAGGTTTTAGGAGCCCTACGAGTCAATATGGAGAATTCCACGGAATGTACGGAAAGAGGCCGAATTAAATTCCTCACCCTCTTGTGCCTATAGAGCCCGGAACGAGACGGCTAGCGGGGTTGAGTTCGCGGCGGAATGACCACTAGTCTTTGCCAACTCAGGCTTTCCTTCGTTGCGGTATTCCGAAGTCAACGAGCAAAAATTAATGGGAAAGCGAGGAAAGCATGTTTACCCTCAATCTTCGATCATCGACACTTGGCAACGTCCGAGCCAGCTATGACCGACCTTCGATTCTAAGCATGTCGATATAGTCATTGTTAAAAAGTTTTGATATTGTTTCCCCTGGAAAATCGTGAATTTTTTCAAATCCCGCTAATTCTTGTCTGGGTAGTTGGGTAGCTTGGAGGAGTCATTTCTCGAAGTGTCAAGTCCCCGCATCGGCTTCTCCGCACAGAGAACTTCGCTATTCGCTAGCCCTTCCGCTTCGGATTTCATGAGCGTAACCAAATGCGGAGTTTATACGGTCCCACCCTGTATGTACCAACCGTTTCACCTTCATCCCGCTATCCTCTGGCATGAGGAGGGAGTCTCCTACATTCATTTACCCTTTCTTCTTCAACGACGTGGCAGTCTCCCAGCATCCCCAGAGGGGGAGCTCGAAGTCGGGGGAACTCCGGCACTTGAATAGCGCTACACCAGAGAACTCTCAAAGAGGTCGGATGAAGGATTAGAGACTTGATCCTTCGATCGGCTTGATTCCGATTCGCGTGTGGCGCGGCACCGAAACTGACCCGGTTGACAGCGCCCACAACTTTTGAATCAGCTGACGGTTAGAGCTGGCAATCTTGTTCACACTGGAAACATCTCCCTAAGCATTGTGCTCTCCGTGAAACGCTGCGGCAGGAAGCCCGGCATGTAGCATTCATCACTGCTGGAACTGCTGGAGTTTCGAAGAAGGCAACGGAGCTCACAACCACGATGCGAATGGAATATCACATCTCGGTGGAAGTTTTCCCGCCCCCGTAATTTCCCATTCAACGATCATTAAATGACGCAAGTACACGACGAGCGGGACTCGGAGAGCCGGTATCAACGTCTTCGAAAATCCGGGATGCGAGGTTCGACGTTTCAGGGATTCAACAGAGAAGGGGGATAAAAGAAGCTTGACTCCAAAATCGAGGACGAAGGTCTTCCTTTCGAATTCCAGATAACGAAGTCATCACAGACGGAAGTACCGAACAACTCGGTAAGATCGAGAAATCGAATACACATGGATTGGATTTCCGGGCTAATGGCTGGCTGACAGCGGAGAGCTTCCATCAGAGCCTCCCGCACTTCTAGAGAGAAAAGAATTTCGTTTAAGTTTATAACAATCTCGCTCTGACCGACGGATGTATCAATCGGGGCTCAAGGACGAAGCCCTTCTTCGATGCGGCACAATCCATCGATATGACTTTCGCTGACGAGAGTTCACAGACTCCAATGTGATGAGACAGGTTGCTCTTGGATTCTCGATCGGATCCGATAAGGGTGAGAGCAGCGTCGAAGATAACGAGTCATAAGTCTACAGTCTGGAGAATTTCGCATGGGGTTTCTTGAAAAAAAGTCTGATGGATCAGAGATCACCGATCCTCATCTCGCTCTGGAGACGCTAGCGAAGTAATCGCAGGAACATCTTCGGAATTCATACGAATATATTCCCGCTATCCAGTATTATCTAGGCAGCATACTTCTCCAGGCGCTGGAGAAAGTTTCGCCTATATATTCAATTGATCTCTTCTCCACATCGTATTTACATCGGAACATGCTTCCGGGCTCGCATCACGAATAATGGAATCGATGACGGTAGGAATCCAGACCATGTTTAGAGGGAATTAGTTTCGAGGGTCGACAGGGAAATGCACGGGACAAACAAGAATTACCTGTTCATAAATCACCGCCCGCGGGACTCGGAGCACGTCTATTACCCTCTGTTTCCCCCGTAGAATTCCGCAGCTCGGAACAACCTCTTCCGGTTTCCCCGAGCCAGTGTTTTTCCGTTGTTTTGATCCTTCCTATGACTCGTTCCAGTTGTGCGTAGTCCCGCTCGTGCAATCGCGGGAGCAGCGCTGGAGATCACAATGAACGCTTACTCCATTGTTTACCCCCACCGCGCGAAACCAGGAATTACGAAACGACAAGCTCCCCAGTGATGACGGCAGCGACTCCTCCATCCCAAAGGTCGAGCAGAAAGTAGCCGCCCAACTCATCGCGCAGCGAACCAGTTTTGCGGCTTAACTAGGTGAAGGACTCTAGACAGCAGCCATTTGCTTTCAACTTTTTCCGGCTCGCTTTGACCGTCTAGTCTCCCGTGAACAATGAAATATTTCACTTCAACCCCCCCCCTCACGATTATAAGGCGAAAGTTTCGGGACTTCTTCCGAGCGTGGGAACACTTTTCAATTCGCTTCACATTTTTTTATCTTGTTCCGTCCACCATGACCCAGAAACGAGCGCATGAACGATTGACGAATTCCACCGCGATGAAAGATGGAACGAACTCCGTATGAGCGAGAAGAAGGCGTCACACTGACCGGACAAGCGACCGAGCGGTCGGCCACTGGGACACCGAGTTGACGGGAAAAGTATTATGCTCTCGATCGCACGGACGTACGGAATTGTTTCCAATGCCGTCGATGCTCAATATGGCCCGTCGGCCATTCCTGCTGGTATGGATCGGCGCGCGCCACGTTCCTCTATGCGTGCGGTCGCGGTTTACTGCGGGGATTTCCCCCCGCGTTCTAGCTATCAACTGGACTTGGTGGCTGTGGTGAGTGCTCCGTTTCTGGGTCAGTTCTGCTTGCTTGGCAGATTATTATTGATCGGCCGAGGATCTCCCGCGGACGACGAACAGGACGATAGAGGAAGCTCCCGAATCAGA